AACGCTTATAAAGATTTTATTTTTTTCATAAAAAATAATGGAGTTCGAAATTAAATAAAATGACTTAACAACACTCCGGCATATAGGGCGGTAAAAGTTAGATGTGAAAGCTTTTTACCGATACGCGAAAGTATTATTAAACATTAAGGTAACGCTTTATTTTCCAAAGAAACTTTTCCTTATGTGCCACGTTTTAGATGATAGTGTCGGGAGTCGAACACGAATTGAAGAAATCAATAGCCGTAAAAGTTAACGATTACACAACCAAGTTTAACTACGTCAGCGAACGCTCACATTGTTTTTTAAACGGGTTTCTTCTGAGAATTACATTTTATTATATTTAGAAATAGGTAGTAAATGTAAATTCAGAGTTTTGTTTATTATTCTTATCTAGATTGGCGCAAAGTTCATACCTAGTTACCATTTAGCATAATTACGTATTTTACTAACACAATCAAATACTGTTATTTATAACTACAAAATTATATTTTTTTATTTCATTTAAGTATAGCAACCAGCAATTTTTATTTACAATACCTGTATATTTTTCAATATACCGCTACAAAACTAGATCATGGACGTAAGTTGATGAGGTGACCTTACTAACTTACTAACTTAATAAATCACATTTACACAAATAACAATACAGTTCGTTCAAATGAACTGACATTATTTTAAAAATGGAATTCCTTAATGTTTAAGCGTTGTAAAATAAAACTTGACAAGCGAAGCCGCGTGTAAACGCTTGTAGAATATAAATATGAGCAAGTTATAGGAAGGTTTCGATCGTGCGTGCCTGCCACCCCCGTGACGAGAGGGATTAAGTCTACCCCTAGTTTCCCCACAGAATTATTTAATAGAGAAAAACGTTGAGGAATTTCCAACTTTGTCATGCTCAAGTTTGTCAGCGGGTTCAATATAACGTTCCAACTTGTCATGCTTGTTTATTTATTGCCATACCTTGATAAATCTACGAAATTAATACAAAGTAAAAAAGCAAAGTCGCTTTTTCTGTCCCTAGGTGCGCTTAAATCTTCAAAACTACGCAAGAGTATTTATATACTACGTTCACTGTTTTTCTATATTTTTATTAAGATCGTTTTTTTTAATAAAACACTTTAACGGTTTAAAACGCGATATATATTTGATAACTTATTTTAAATACGGCCTGTCGATTCGTATCCTTAGCAGCAGCCTTGACTCTGTCTCCCTGTGACCACGCGCGTTTTAAACCGTTGAAGTGTTTTATTTAAATGTGTACTACTCCCGTAAACTACAGGCTGTATGTGATATCTCGTTTTTCAAATGTTGACTACCATGTCATTTTTGAATTGACTGATATATACATAATACTTATTTGGATTTGAGAAAATATTCTCTTGATCTACTATTGTTAAAATAATATACGACGAACATTTTATCAAAAAGCTTTAAAAATACATTTTGCAAACTGTACGCTACATTTCTACACTATAGAGGGCCCACATGTGTTAGTCCAGAATCCGATGGAGAAGAAATTCTACTCTATTACCAGAATATCAGTTTCTAACTGTACGGGCAATCCCCAAATAAACTAGAATCAAAAGGTATTTGTAATAGAGTTTGCTTTTGAAAAGCACACGAAGGATGCGTATGGGAGACACTTATTAAGTGGATATGAACTATGAAATACGTCTGACATAAGCCCCGGGGCTTACTCCTACTGCACCTGCCGACTATACCGTGCTCGAAAATTGAATCACGCCTATGTGTTTGTGTAGATATTTCGATAGTTGTTTTCTAAAGCTTTTGAAGTTTTTTTACAGAAATAACCCAATTTTTTTCCATTAATAAAAATTGACGCTCGTTAGTCTAATAGTAGTAATCTACGGGCTGTGGGTTCGATTCCACCGGGTTCTAATCAATTTATAATTTTTCTAAAATATGTTGGACTTCGTATGGAATCTCGTTAAATAACGGTTACACAATGAGTAAAGCCGTAAAATTAATTTGGTTAGGTTTAAGAATATTGAAAGCCAAAATAGGTCGACCTTCCATATGCCCCATGCTTGTCTGTAAAAAAACAAGTAATAATTCTAATTAGTAATTAAAATCGTTGCGTGATTCATATATATTACAAATAAGTTAAATTTTCGTGTTACTTTTATATTATATTTTGATAAACACATTCAAATATTTCATTTTCATTATATGCGACAAAATGGTAAATTTTGTGGTTTTCTTATTAATAACTTTATAAGAAAACTAACTCACTATTCTTAAAACTAGTAAGGTTATTTTTACACATAAATAATATTGTTATCCAGTGTAAAACTAAAAGCATTTGTTAAAACTTTAAGCTTTTGCATTTCTTGACGAACCATTCCATCGTCATTACTTTGTTAACTCCAGCTAAATGCTTCCATTAATCCATTCCCAAAAAATATCACGTTCACCATTGGAAATAATGAACAGGGAAAGTTGCACAGTCATTTTGTCACGACTTGCTGACACCGTGTTTAGGAATAAATTGCGGACAGTGTGAATTGACAAGTTAGTTTAATAAAAAGCTGCCAGTAATGCGGCCGTAATTTATCTTGAATGCCAGGCACACTCTGCCCCTCGAATATACGGACTCTGATTCTGATATTTACACTCGCCTGTCGCTTGCCACTCGCCTGCTTGGCTTCCACCGTCTGTTATTAATATTTGCGTAGTATGAACTTTTTTAATATGTAATATGTTTTTACTTTTCACTTACCTCTCCCTGTAACCATTTATATTTATACTACCTACATTCGTCGCGTGATGACGTCACACCCACCTGACAATAAGTGTGACCCCTTGTACACTACATTGCTGAAGGCAAGAGAGTTTTTCCTTCTGAAACCACACACATACGCACACGTTGAGTAATTTATGTTCTTAAGTCAATTTTATAAGTGTTTGGTACATTTACAAAAAAATAAAATAAAAGATTATTAAGGCTAATAAAAACTGTTTTCTTTCTTTCTATATACTGGCTTTTTAACGGGTGACTGAAATAACAGCAACTTTGCAATAGCGTATCATTATTGATTGCTTCTTTGTCAGTGTCGCGTGAGTTACCAGAATTGGATCCACGTTCATATTGTGTCGACGATATTACAACAACAACTCTCCGCTCCTAATAGTCCTATTTCCCGATCGAAAATTAGTATTTTATTAATTCACGCTATTTAATCGTATATTTACTTTGTGTATAAATTTATTATTTAGGTTATAACAAAAGTTTACAACTTATGTTATGTACTCTTAAAAAAGAAACATTAACCACTTAATAAAAATTAATGCTTTTTACTAAATGAGGAATAAAAATTACATATATTATTGGTATATATAGGTGGTAGTTATATTCAAACGTTCAAAAATAGCCACTGGAATAATAAATAACTGTAAAAACAATAAATTAATTTAATATTTGGCCTGTACTTTTTAGGTACTGTAGGTTCTTGTTCGAGGGATTATATTTTACCTTTATTAAATTTTAATTAAATTACATTAAGAAAGATAAAAGTTTTTAAGAAAAAAAATCGCGGGAAAGGGTTCTTAATTTTTTTGGACAATTTCATCTAAATTACTCTTCGCAAGTGAAACTCTTGAACAAAAGCTTAAAACTTTACACAAAGAGCCCCAGATCGTTGCTGAAACATGAAATACGACTTTTGAAATAATTAAATTTTGTTCGAAGTTATACAGATTTAAAGGGGACTTAACAAAACGAACAACAAGTAATTAGGACTGACATCTCTTTCTGACAGTCACTCGCCACGGGCTGTTCTTGCGGGTTTGCAAGTTCGCGACGATTCTAATAAATAAATAACGACATAACTTCGCCATTGTTTCCAGACTTCTAAATCATGAGATTTATTATTCAAACGGAATACTCTTTAAAGCACTTAAAGTCTTACATGTTACAATGAATTCCAAAGTGGCTAAAACAATTTGTTACTGCTTACAACGCGTGCTATGTTTATTTGATACCACAATGAATAAATATAATAGAATACGTATATACAGAAACTAGAAGTAAAAATTATTTAAATTAAATACTATAGTTTCCTCTGAAAAGGAAGCCAGTTAGCTACGTAAGGACCGATGTCCCAATACTGATATTCTGTGGTCCCTTCAGATGGCGAGCTAACGCAAGCGAGGCTATTTGACATTTTTCTATTAAACTTACACACTAACACTTAAGAAAATTACACTTATATATTAATATTACAATAAACTATAGTTTTTGAACTGGACGAGTTATCCGTAGACATGGTGAAACAAGTATATTTGAAACAAGAATATCAAAGTTGAAGTGAAGTTTTGAAGTTATAACTCTAGCTCATACCACTGTACCACAAAGGCACTCCAATAATAAAACTCGTATTTTACTTTACAATGATACACTATAAAATAGTTGAAACTACGAACTGCATAATAATGTGCGTATTGTAAACCGCAGTTGAAACGGCAACGTTACAAAACACAATACATTTTCTCTTTTGTTTTTAATTCCCATGCAACCGCATTTAATTTTCGTTTTTATTAATTTTCCACGGAATCAACTACAGGCTATATTTCAACAACTTTTTCTTTGATGGATATTGTAATTAACGCAAAGTTGTACCGGTGTATTAGTGGATTAATTATGTTTATAAAAAAAACAATGGCATTGAATTGTGAAAAAAAAACGGTTTCTTTAAATTATAGGGAAGTACTTCATTCCGTAAAAAGAAACGTGTAGTAATTTTTATTTTGTAAGAAAAGGCCGGATATTAATTTATTTAATCTGTAAATACTTTAAGACTTTAAAGCTTGTGCAAAAATATATTTAACACGTGAAACTTAAAAATGTTCCTATTATTTTTGTTTCAGACACCAGCAATGATAGTGCGGAAAAACTAGGGATGCTAACCCTGTAGCCGAAACCAAAATCCATAGAGCATAGTATCGCAGCGTGACCACAGAGTCGTGTAAAATAGAGAGCGATGGCTTGTAAATTGATACACGTGCTAGCCCTAGCGTTGGCAATACAGATAATTGGTGCAACAAGACTGATGTGCCCAAGTCACCCTAAATGCGTTTGCGGCGGCACGTTGCCTGTCGAACTCAATTGCGACATCGACGGTGAGTGCACTTAAACGCTCACGTTTCCAAATGCTTCCATTGTTCCACCTAAAGCTACATGAACGTGGAGTCCCGACATAACAATATACTGTTACAAAGTCAATACGTCCCTTCTTTGTTGCAGGAAGCATCGTGAAGATAAACTTTCTGCCCAACACTTTCATAAACATAAAGTGTGAGAACGCCACTATACTAAACTACAGCCAGCTACCGAAGTGTGCCAATGAATTAGACACGTTCAAATCGGTCAGCTTCAAGGACTGTCCCTTGCCGTCGTCGTCGTTCAAAGATGTTTTGGAGCAACTCGGAGTCTCGAAAACAATGTCATTAATATTCCAGAACGCTAAAAATCTCTCGGGATATTTCGATAGGAAACATTTCGCCGGATTACGCGATTTAACTAAACTGTTATTGTCTGTTACGGGAATCACGCATCTTCCTGACAACCTATTTATGGACGTAAACAACTTAACTTGGCTCAACATACGATGTAATAGTATAAATATTTCGGAACAACTTTTCAAGCCCCTCGAGAGACTGGAAACGTTGGAAATCAGCCACAATCAAATGACGAATATGTCTTCTAATTTATTCTCTCACTTGGCATTCTTGAGGAAATTGTCACTTTGGCAAAGCAACGTAACTTGGTTCTCTAAAGACTTTTTCTCGGGCGTCAACGTGCTCGAAGAATTAGATCTTAGTTCTAATGGACTTAACGAACTTCCAACGCTTATTTTTAAACCGCTGAAGAAGTTACGAAAACTCACATTGTTCTCGAATAAGTTTTCGACTTTGCCACAAAACCTATTCTCGACAAACAATAACTTGGAGACGGTAATAATTCTTAACAATGATGTCAAAATGAAAGAACTTCCGAGAACTCTGTTTGGTAATTTGCAAAGTTTGAGACATATTTACATACAAAGGTGTGGTATACAAGTAGTACCTTCCGATGTATTTGTGAACTCTTCGCAAATAACGAACATATCACTAGCTTACAACGATATTGGATCATTACGCGAATCAACATTTAACGATCAAATAAATTTGCTTGAACTCGATTTGAGTCACAACAACTTGAAAAACTTGGAACCGAAGCTATTTTCCTCATTGGTAAGACTGGAAAAATTGGACTTAGCTTATAATTCCATTGAAGAAATTTCCGGGTAAGTTAACCGTAATCCTTTGTTGAAAGTTCTCTATTTTTATTGCAATTGGCTTCACGTTTTCTTAACATTTCAGATCGACGTTTTCTTCACTACTGAGTTTAATTTACTTGAACATGGAGCATAATAATTTAAAAACTATTTCGTCCTATTTATTCAGTAATAACAAGCAGAGGATGTCAATATCTTTTGCTTATAATGAGCTAGACTTCGAAACTAAAGAACTGCAAAATAATTCCTGGACGATTAATAAAGTTTCACCCTTTTCTCATACTTACAATTTGAGGCTGCTTAATTTGAGCCATAATAGATTTGAAAGTAGCTATGACGACTGGTGGACAAATGGACATGAGAATTTGGATATTAGTTACAACAAAATAAATTATTTATGGGTATGTATAGGAAAGAGATGAGTAATTGAATAGACTGCCTATGCGGCTAAATATTTAAGTGCGTTAACACTCAACGCTTTTAACTATTAATATTATAAATTGTGCGGAATTCGTGATCCTAGTAAAAACATATAAATTACAGTCGGCCGGGGCAGGAAAATCTGATCAATTACTATTTCTTTACATCTATTTTTTTTCAGAACCACCCAACGTCAACCTACAAAACAATTGGTAAAAAGACAATGAAGCAACTTTGGATTTCACATAACTCTATAAATTGCAACTGTAAGAACTTCAAATTCCTCGACTTCTTGAAGGAACACTTTAAAGCGCAGGTTTGTGTGACTACACAAATAAATGATATAAAGTTGAACAGATAGTGATCGCTCGTTTAACATGATATTTATTTCAGATCAAAGATGAGAACTTGCTACACTGTTCCGTATGGAGAAGAGAAGCGTGCAATATGCGATTCATTATATTCGTTTGTGTTATATCCGTGTCGGCGTCACTTTCCACTATAACAATAATGTTATATCTCAAGTATCGAAAGCAATTACATACCATGGTAAAGAATAAATTATTTCAAATATCAAAACCAAGCAAAGACAACGACAAAGAACGCAGCGTGATCATAAAATATTCTGAAAAAGATGAAGAATTTGTTCTCAAAGAAATCGTGCCAGGTCTAAGAGTCCATAAGAGCCTTAAAGTACACGTAAAGCCAATAGCTAGTGACTGTAATAAAGAAAATTTCATTAAGCAGCTCAAAAACAGTTCAAAGGAAGGAGACACAACGCTCGTTATTTTTTCACCGAACTACTTAATGTCAGCTTATAGTCACGTAAACATAAAGAAAATTCGAGGCGAAATGTTAAAAGCGAAGAAGACGGTTTATGTTTTTACGGACATGGGTACGGAGAATTCGATTTACGCATTCTTAAAGGAGCAAAGGGATAGGCGAACGACAATACTGTGGAATAATCCTAACTTCTGGAACATTTTATTGCCCGTGCTGTCAAAGGAGAAATGTAAATTGACAATTCGGGTGAAGGATAGTGCGGATCAGAATGCAAAAATTGGCGCCTTTAAAGAATTGAAACAGACCAGGAATCCCTTAGATGTTTATAGCCATTCCTCGAATCCTTCTGGAACCTTGCACTATCAAGTTTAGTTGATCTCATTTACATTATGAGGTAAAGACTGACTTCTTCACCATCCTTATATTAATCACTTTCCGTAGTTCCAGATCACTTATTATTTTATATAACTTAGGTGTATCTAATGTTCTCGAAGTAATTGTGTAAATTTTTATAAGGAACTAGTCTTACGTGACATTAGAATGTACATTATTATTAGGTATGTAATACGTGTATTTATTTATTGGAATTCATTGTGTGGGTGAACCTACGACTATTTATCGAACTTCAAAGAAGTTTTTACGTATAATCAAATTCATTGTTATTTTAGTACTTTTAATGTAAATATACATGTGAAATGCATTTAGAATGATTAAAGTGTTTAAGTTTCAAGGAAACTGTATGTTGTTAAGATTAAGTTACAGCTTAAATTAAACATACTATACTTTAAATACTTGTTTTATTTGCCATTCGTACTCCTTATAAATATACAAACACAATTATATGGAAATAAAAATTTAAATTCAATTCAAAATGTCAAATTTTATACCTTTCTATTACTCTATCAAAAATTATTAAAATCAGGTAAACGTTATGTTTTATTCACTGTACTATGACTATGTAGTCAAAGTATGTTTTAAGCATATATAATGGAGTCATAAATAGAAGTTAATAACACTACTTGTATTTTTCCCTTTCACAATACAAAAGAAGCTGTTTGAAAGCCATAACAAACCGACATGCGGAGAAAATTTGCTATAATTTTATACAGTGCTTGCAGTAAATCAATGTGTATTTTTACACATTTAAAAGTCGTAACTCCATCGAAATTTAAAGGTTAAAACAATAATTATGTATATGATAAAGAATTTTCACTTAAGCGTAAACAAAATATACAGCCCGTATTATATGTGAGTAGATACGAATTGACAATTATAATATAATCGATTGCAAGTACTTCTCTACTGTATTATTAAATGTATATTTATTTATAACGCAATATTATGAAAGCTAAACTGAGGGCTGTCCCCCAGCATTTTCTAATAAGATAAGAGTAAAAGGCCGTAACAGGGTAATATATTTATATGTCAAGCTAGGATATTTTACTTTTAAACATTTATATAACGAGCGAGGATGGAGAGCCGGCATTATTTATATTCCACGCTGCTTCCTGCCCCGGCCACAATACGCATGGTAGTAATAAATTAATTAGTTCCCAGCATACTTTTAATATGATTAACAGACTGTAATAATTAAAATAATTACTACGACCACGTTCCAAATATTTAAACCCGGCTATGATCCAGTTAAACATTTCATATGTAAGTACGATAACGCGGTGGAAAATTGTATCAATATCATTGCGCTCAGTGATAAAATAGGGCCCACATTCTTGTTTGGTTATCATTAATCAATGATTTAATGGAGTAGATGTATTGTTAAGTGAATATTATGGTTACGTAATGTTGATTATATGGTTACGTAATATGACGTGAAAACACTTTAACGGTTTAAAACGCAATATATTAGTTAAACTTATTTGAAAATTATTTTTAACTTCGGCCCGACGTTTCGGATGCTTTGCAGCCGCCGTGGTCACGGGGAGACTGTTTTATTTAAAAGCCTGTTAATATTTACTTTGTTGACTCAACACTAGTCGTAAATCCAAAAGGTATTAAGTTATTAGATAAAAGATTTTATTTAATAAAAAAATAGCTAAATTAGTTATATTTAAATTTATTTCACAGTGAAACAGACTGAGGAGACAATGAACAGAACTCTTTACAGAAATACATTTCTTGAAATAAGCCTTTAGTGTGGTGTTGTAGTCATGAGAACAAGTTCAAAACAGATATTTAATATATTTATAAGATGGGTGGTACTCAACTTTGCTCAGAACCGCGAAGATAATAAAAAGTCCAGCTTAACAAAGACATATTAAATATTGGTTATACTCTACGCGAGTGATACACGTTAAATCAACATGTCTTATCTGACATATACCTATGTCAGTCGAATACGTGTTAACTAAGCAGTTATATTGTATTACATTTGAAGCCGTTACAAATGTTTAATTTAAACTTATGATATGAATAATCCTCCGACTTAGCGGGGACGACACAACACTAGTGCGACGCGATTACCGCGCGCGTCCCGACACTAGCTCAAGGACTGTCAAATACGAACGTTGGCGCGCATTCTGTCGGTTAAGCCTAATTTTGGATAATTAATGAATATTTAAGAATTTAACATTGTTTTTCCGACCTAACACTTACAAACTTCGAAATTATTTGTTATATACTGTAATAAATAGAGATTGTTCAATCACCATGGTACTTGAATTAAATGCCTCTTCAGGGCAGCCAGGGAAATGTGGTGACTGACTCATGAAATATGCATTGTGCATACTGTTTTGCGTTACTACTGTCCAATGCTTATTCTACTGTTTATAGATTTAATTCGTTTTTGTAGTCTGTGTTTTCTATCTATGATAATAACGGTTTTGTGTAACTTAATAGTTGTGACTTCTGAACTAAGAATAATTAAATCTTATAATTAAAATAAAGTTAGTTTTTATATTAAATAAAAATATTTTATAAACAAACTAGATAAGCTTAACGAGTAAGTAAAAAGCTCTACGCCAAGACCTAATTTTAAAAAGGTTATTTAAAGAAAAATAACAGCAATAAATGAACTTTAAAGACTTATCAACGTTATACCAATTTTTCAAACGTTCTTTTGCCATATGAAGCTGTGTCAGCGAGAATCGTTATTTTGGGCATCCAAATTTGTAATCTTTATAAATTTAAGATGTTATGCACGACGTCGGTCGCGACCTCGCGTTCTCGCGAGATTATCTTAAAATAGAGACATATGTCACATTGGATTTTTTTTCAAATCATTAAAGGGGAATCATTTTTATACATATTTTTGGGTATTTTGAACCGTTTTCGCAGCGTGCGCATCGGAAACGCATAAAGATGAAAAAGAAATCCCAGTTTTTCCCCACATTTCCCGAAGTTTCTTCGCTCTTATTAGTAACAGCGCAATGTTCTATAGCCTTCCTCAATAAAAGGTCTAACCAACAAAAAAGTTTTGTAATATTAGTATAGACGAACCAGACGAGAATTAAATCGTATTACATATAACAATTATTTTAAGGCAATGAAAGCATTTTCGTGGTATATTCGCCTTCATTAGTCCTAAGGATGTTCTAATCATGTTCTTAAAAAAAAAAAGTTACGATTTGACCCCGACGTGATTTGAACACGCAACCTTCTGATCTGGAGTCAGACGCGCTACCGTTGCGCCACGGAGTCGACATTGGTATTACTAAAATATGCGGTCCACTGTTAACTCAATTCCAAAGACATTCTTTACAACATTGTTTAAAATAAAGGCACATACTTGCATATTAAACATTATATAATTCTAAATATAGAAGGAATTGTGAGATAAGACGCATAAAATAAATATTATCAATTATTAATAGTTAGACAATTTATGACTTTTTTCAAGGCAATTAATAGGGCATTCCTACGGCATTAAAGTAAGTACTAGTAGTTTTAGTAGTAGTTCGAATGGCTGAGGACAAAGCGGTGGGGATCCTTGTCCTATCACGCGGTGCAGATTTTGTCTGTTTAAAATTTTTAAAGTTATTGAGATTTGTCATTTTTTTTGTTCGTCTTTCTGTTCGTCGTGATTCTACAGAGTATTCAAAAGAGCAACATCACTGAGAATAATACCCAAGAAACTCAGTCCGGCTTTTTAATATGTCTTATAAAGTAATAGATTGTTCTAAATGTATTAACCTAAGGAGCAATTCATATAACTGCCAGGCGGTCTTGTCATTTTAGAAATCGTTCACACGCCATACACCGTTTGATATCTAAATTTTATAACTTTCTTAATTTTATTTATCGATAAATTTAAAATCTTGATATTATACATACGAATACAATTCCTCGCAAATGAATTTGTTATTTTATAAAGCCTAAATTTGGGGATAGCTAGTTTATCCTTATTTCGGAAGTTCAAATAATGCCTATTACTATTCTTGCTAAACTTGCTTTTAGTCCATTATGACCATACAATTATAGCTCCCCAAAATGTTTATATTGTTATAGTCAATTTATAAAAAGCATAGGTTATTAAATAAAACAATAATTATTATTATTTTTTAAAAATTAAATAGGAATTATGCATTTTACATATACAGTGTTGCGCATAAAAACATATATTATATTATCGTAAAATTGTAATCTAGAGCAATAGACATACATTTTTTTGAATTGTAGCAAATGGAAAATTATTTTCCAGTACAAATAATAGGATCACGTGCCAGTAAATTCCAATCCGTATTTATCCGTGAGTTTTTTAAATAAAATCCACTAGTTTATTTTGCGCTTTAGAATAATTTTTCAGGTTTTATGATACGGAAAACGGATATAAAACAACGTCACATATTTCTATCGTGCTGTAACATTGGACTTTGAGTGATGGATAAAATTGCATTGCTCGAACCGTCCAACTATGAAATATTGAAGTACTTACGGACTCTAATATTTTCTAGTTCAAAACCAAGTAATACCGGGGTTTGTGAACATTTTTAACCATTTTATTATCCAGTGCACAAATTTAATTGGACACGGAAAAAATCTTTGTTTTATATCTGTTTCAGTAATCGCTTTTATTTACAAACAAGTCAATCAGACTTCTGTACCTTACTGAAGCGAAACGATTATAATCCCCCGTTACTCGAACGTAGGACCTCTCATGCTTAAGACAATGATTTCAAACAATACGCGATAATAACTGCCGAAATAAATTTACTTATTTTAGATATAGCAGACCACAACTGCTTACATGACTCAAGGCATAGTAGGGCAAGGTCTGTCGGTCCTTTGTACTCGAGGGCTACGTCTCTTAGTTTAGAATTTTCTAGCTGCTTCGGGGCGAAATTTATGTATTTAGGGTCTCCGTTAATGTCTAAAGCACTAAAGTTACTCGTGTGCTTTTGTTAACTGAAAACTCA